ATCCCAGCGTCTGCAGTTTCACCAACCACATGGTTGGATGGATGGATGGATGAGTGGATGGATGGATGGATGGATGGATGAGTGGATGGATGGATGAGTGGATGGATGGATGGATGGATGAGTGGATTGAGTGGATGGATGGATGGATGGATGGATGGATGGATGGATGGATGGATGGACGAGTATCACCTAAGCTTCAGAACTTAGAGAGAACAGCTTCAGGATCTGAACTGGTCTATCCCAGCGTCTGCAGTTTCACCAACCACATGGTTCAGCCCTTTCAACAAACTTAACCAGAATGAGTGAACAAACAGACAACAGAGTTGAGAGGAATGTGATTACAGGGGACAGGAAAAAGAAATAGGGGCCCCCAGACATGTAAGCCAAGTGGCTGGCTTGGCAATTTTGAGTAAACCCCTCTGAGTCTCAGTTTCCTTGTCACACAAGCTAACACCATTTTCCCAGCCTCCCAAAGAAACATGATAGATTCTCCAGGCTGGACCCCAGACAGACAACCCACCATCAGGTTTTTAGAGGCCCCAAATGCCCCTGCTCTGAGGGGCTGAGAAGCTGACCCACTTCTTGAAGTGGCCTGGAGGGCCCAAGGGGGCTCTGAGGATGATGAGGGCCAGGGGAGAACAACCCAGTCTCTGTGTAACCCCCACCAAACCCTCCACCAGATCCACTCACCTGCCCCTGAAGCTGAACCCACCAGCCCGAATGGCCAGCCTTGGGGCCCTGGTCCCACAGTGGCTTTGTGACTCACAGCCAAGTTCCAGCCAATCCCCATCAGCTCCTGGAGGAAGGGGGTTCTAGAAGGCCAACCCCGTGTGGGGGGCAGGACCTAGATCAGAGCTGAGGCTCATGGTGGTTGCTACATATTGCCTGCCTGTACTGAACAGAAAATTAGGGCTCTGAGCAGAGAAGGGGCCCCAAATTCTTCCCCTACATGTGTCTCAAGGCAAACTCAGTCTCACATACCTTGGGCATTTGTTGAATGCCTCACTTTGTTTTTGTTTTTGTTTTTTAAAGATTTTATTTATTTATTTGAGAGAGAGAGAATGAGAGACAGAGAGCACGAGAGGGAAGAGGGTCAGAGGGAGAAGCAGACTCCCTGCTGAGCAGGGAGCCCGATGCGGGACTCGATCCCAGGACTCCAGGATCATGACCTGAGCCGAAGGCAGTTGCTTAACCAACTGAGCCACCCAGGCGCCCTTGTTTTTGTTTTTTTAAAGATTTTACTTTTAAGTAATCTCTACACCCAACGTGGGGCTCAAACTTACAACCCTGAGATCCAGAGTCATGTGCTCTACCGACTGAGCCCGCTGGGTGCCTCTGAACACCTAACTTTGTAGTGAGACCTGATCTGGGCCTGGGGACACACACAACTCAAATAATTTGAGTGTGTGAAATGGCTAGGAAGGAATCAAAGGGGGGTGGATGGGCTGAGTCCCACAGGAGGAGAAGGAGTAGTAGGAGGAGAGCTGGGGGAAGGGCATCCCTGGTGGAGGACACAGCACAAGCAAAGGCCCCAAAGTGAGAAGAAGTCGGGCATGATTAGGGGATGTGGAGGTTGGTGTGGTTGGAGGCAAGGAGGAGGGTCAGGAGGCAGAGTACCGAACAGGTGGGACCTCAGAGAGGAGTATGAGAGTTTGGGTTTTGGGGCGCCTGGGTGGCTCAGTCGTTAAGCGTCTGCCTTCGGCTCAGGTCATGATCCCAGGGTCCTGGGATCGAGCCCCGCATCGGGCTCCCTGCTCCGCGGGAAGCCTGCTTCTCCCTCTCCCACTCCCCATGCTTGTGTTCCCTCTCCCGCTCTCTGTCTTCAAATAAATAAAATCTTTAAAAAAAAAAAAAAAGTTTAGGTTTTATCAAGCAGGCCCCGCGGGAGCCACGAGAGGGTCCAGAGCAAAGGAGGCACAGCTCTCGTATTCTGATTCACATCCTAAAAGGCCAGGCGGGTATCTGTGTCTGGCTCTGAGGATGGGGGCTCCTTAGGGTGGAGCTGGGCCCAAGGTCCCTTGGCATCCCCGTATGGGACTGGCAACGGTGGGTATTGACTCTGAGCCATAGTCATGAAGGGGAAAGTGAGGCCACCATCCCCATCCACCTCCTGGGGCTAGGCTGATGCCAGGTATGAATCACTGCTGGCCAGGCTGGGGCTGACACACATCTTGGCCTCAGCTCAGCAGGGTCCTGCCAAAGCCACACAGCCTGGCCCGGCAGCCTCGCTTCCCTGGGGAGCCACTGGGAGGCACCAGAGCAAGAGGTAAGCAGGGACACCCAACCTTACTCGGCAGTTAACCCCTCATCTTCTCCACGCTGTGGGTGTAGCTTTGGGCAAAACCAGAGACATGACAGTTGGACATAACTTACGTCCTTGGTCTCAACAATGACCAGGACAGCTCTCATCCATGCCCTCTGTGAGCTAAACACAAATCCAGGGTGGTCAAGGCAATAATGGTGGAAGTACACAGCACTGTGGGAACCCAAGAAGGCCCTAGCCCAGCCTGGGGGTTGTTGGGGACCAGGAGGACAACCACAGCTGAGTTTGAGCGAAGGTCAGCCGGGTAGCTGAGGGAAGAAATGTTATCTGGCTTGTAGCCATGCAAAGGCCCTGAGGCCAAAAGGGAAGGCAGTAGAGTTTGGGTAGGGAGGTGCCTGGAGTGACATTGATCTTTCCCAGGCCAGATGCACTCAAGGACTTTTTTCCATAAAGGGTTCAAGTAGGGAGTCGGACCTGTGGTTTCCAAAAAGCCCCATGTCACGTGCTAGTGAACACATAGGGCCTCCACTTAGACCCAAGGCTCCTGGGAGGCAGGCAAGAGTCCAGGGTTCTAGCCCCTGCTCTGTCATTTAGCAGGAGTGGGATACAATAAGATATATTTAGTCTTTGTCCCTGGTCCCTGGCACTCAGCTCCTAAAACTCTCGAAATCTCTGGGAGTGATAAGTGTCTTTTTTTTTTTTTTTTTAAGATTGATTGATTGATTTGAGAGGGAGTGCCTGCGAGAGCACAAGTGGGAGGGGCAGAGGGAGAGGGAGAGAGAATCTCAAGCAAACTCCGAGCTGAGCGCAGAGCCCAACGTGGGGCTCGATCTCACTACCCTGAGATCACAACCTGAGCCGAAACCCAGTTGGACACCTAACCAAGCGTGCCACCCAGGCACCCCAATAAGTATGTTATGCTAATTAGATGAGTGGTGGCTGGGGACCAGCAGATAGCTTCAGGATGGGGGCTGGTCCCCAGAAAGACGGAGAGAGTAGACAGTTTGAGGTTTCAGCTGCACCTCCCAGACCTCCTGGGAGAGGAGAGGGGCTGGAGATTGAACTAATCACCAAAGGCCAATGATTTAACCGATCACGCCGGTGGAATGAAACCATTGGGGGTCGGAGAGCTTCTTAGTTGGTGAAAACATGGACGGACTGGGAGGGTGGCGCACCCAGACAGGGCATGGAAGTTCAACGTCTCTTCCACTGTGCATCTCCTCCACCTGGCTGTTCCTGAGTTGTAGCCTTTATAATAAACCAGTAATACAGGCGCCTGGGTGGCTCAGTTGGTTAAGCATCTGCCTTCGGCTCAGGTCATGATCCCGAGGTCCTGGGATCGAATCCCGCATGGCGCCCTCTGCTCAGAGGGCAGTCTGCTTCTCCCTCTGCCTCTGCCCCTCCCCACCACTCGTGCTCTGTCTCCCTCTCTGTCTCAAATAAAACCTTAAAAGTAAGTAAATAAACCAGTAATAGTAAATAAAGCACTTTCCTAGGCTCTGTGAGCTGTTTTAGCAAATTATGGAAACTGGGCTGGGGGGTGGGGAAACCCTTGGTTTAGGGCTTGCTGTTCAGAAGTCCAGGTGGCAACCTAAGACTTCCAAATGGCATTTAAGTGGGGATGGTGTTGTGGGACTAAGCCCCTCGGCTGTAGGGTCTAAGCTAACTTCAGGTAGTGTCAGAACTGAATTGTAGGACACCTGGGTGATGTCTAGAAAATTGAGCTGGTTGGTGTGGGGAAACCGCCCCCCCAACACTACTGGCATCGGGATTATGAGTAAAAGAGTTCAGGGGTCAACATGCAGATCTCCCAACTTCCTGGGCCTCCCCTTCTCTATAGGTTGGGGGTGCACGGGGAGCCCTTGAGTATCATTATTATTCATCTACCAAACAGATATGGGAGATGTTACCTGGACATGAACCTACCCATTTCATAGCATAGAAGGTAGAGGGGGCAGGGGGAGAGGACTTGGTTGAGGTTACACAGTGGCCAACTGGCACCCAGGTTGAGACTCAGCCTCCTGAAGAGTGAAGCTCTGCTCCCAAAATGTGGTTCTTGGTCTCCTCTGTGTCAAGACACCCCCACCTCAGCTTCGGCCTCTCACTGCTGGGCGCCCTCCTGAAACGTCTGCCTGAGGGCGGTGCAAGGTGAGGTCACATGGTTAAAAACCAAATCCCAAAGATCTTGAAGCCTTGAAAAGTAGGCAGCCAGGGTGATCAGAAGGAAGAGGAAACAGGTGGTGAGGCCCCACCCTTTCAATGGCAGAGGTATAGTGGGCACGTGCTGTTCCTTCTTTGCACCTGTTCCCCATCTGTAAAACAGGAACAATTCACCCGCCTCCCCTAGCAGGGCTGGGTATACAGCTGGTGCTTAGCACATGCCCACCAGCTCGACTTGCCCTGTGTCCTTGACCACTAATGCCTAGGTCCCTCCAGGCCCCAAGTCAGGCAGAAAGCCCAAGGCCCCAGTCTTTTGCCCACACGACAGCAAGGGTCAGGGTAGGCAGGGGATGAAGGCAGTGCAGCTGTCAAGGCTCTGGAGGTTTGAAGCCTAAGGTATAAATGTCCCTGCAAACTCCTAAAAATTGCAGGCTGTGCGACCTCAGATCACTCAACCTCTCTGAACATGAGTTTCCTCAAAATGGAACACTAGGATGTTGGGAAGGGAGAGGTCTTCAGGGAGTACTTGGAAAATCCTGATTCCAAGTCAGTGTCCCAAGACGAAGGTCCCACAGAACGGAGCTACACCACCAGTCCTGGAGGCAGACTGCCCAAGTCAGATCCCACCTGGGCCACTTTCCTTCTGGGCCCGAGATTCAGCAACCCCCATCCACCAGACAATAATAAAAGCTTACACTGAGCACCAACTGTAAGCCAAGCACTGCTCTGTGAACAAACTGCTGATCCTCCAACTTTATGGGGCAAGTTTGTAACTGTTCGGCCCATTTTGCAGACAGGGTAACAGAGACCCGGAGGTTCAAGTTTTTGCCTTTTCCTACCTGCCTGGGATTGGGCTGTCCCCGTTCCATCTTGTAGTCTCTCTTTCCTAAAGGGGACACCCGTGGGCTCGCTAGTTCCAAAAGCTGGTTGGAGATCCCAATATCCCTTACCTAACCTGGACGTCAGTCGGCCCTAAGCCCTGGAGCGCCTAGATGGCGCTCGTTGAGCGCCAGATGTGCAAGGCCCCTCCCGTACACCGGCTCTCCTCCTCCGAACAGAGGCGGAGGGAGGAGGGGGAAGGAGGCAAGGGATGGGGGAGGGGAGCGAGCGAGCCAGGCCCTGCCCAGCCCATCAGGCCCCGGCGGGGGAAGAAGGAGGCAGAGAGCCGAGCTGGCGTAACGAGACTTTACTGAAAACAGAAAACCGGGCAAACCAAGGATTACAAACAGGAATGTGGACTCGTAGCAAAACAAAAACAACAGAACAAAAAGGGCGGGAGGAGGGATGTAGGAAGGACGGAAGGGGGGGAGCAAGAGCGAGGAAAGGGAAGGGAGTTTTTTTTTTTTCTTCTTCCCATTTCTTTAAAAAACCAACACAAGAAAAAACACACACACACAACCGTTTGTTCCCAAGTAGAAACATAAATAGGGCAGAATCGAACACTCTGTTTCTTCTCTCTTCCAAAAGCAAAAAAAAAAAAAGTAAAAGGAAAGGCAGGGTTTGAGGCTGCGCCCCCTCGGAGCCCCCTACCGCGGCGGCGTGTACAAAGGGGCGGCCGGGGCGCGCGGGTTTGTGCAACACTGGGTGGCCGCGCTCGGGAAACAGAGGCAGCGCGAGGGCGGGGGGGTCATGCGCTTGCCCCCCGGGAGCAGGGGGTCCAGCTTGTCGAGTCTGAGGCGCCCTCTCCGAGTCCTGGGCACCCTCGGGGGGGTCCTCAGGGACCTCGCCCTCTCGGAATCCTGGCACCCTCGGGGTGAGGGGGGGTGTTCCCGGGGCCGCGCCCTCTCTGAGTCCGGGGCGCCCACGCCCCCCCCACACACGAGCCCGCCTCCCGGGGAGGGGGGCCGCGCATGCGCCCCGCGCGCGGGCTCAGTACGCGGACACCTGGTGCTGGGGCAGCAGCTGGCAGCCGCTGTTGACGTGGCTGAGGACCTTCTGCTTGAGCTGCGCCACCTGCTCGCGCAGCAGGCTCGCTGTGGACGCCAGCTCCGTGTTCTGGCTCTTGAGCGTCTTCACTTTCTCCTCGAGGCGCGAGATGCGCTCCAGCTTGCGCTTGCGGCACTTAGAGGCAGCGATGCGGTTGCGCAGCCGCTTGCGCTCCGCCTTAATGCGCTCCTGCGTGTCCATGTCGATGGGCGACAACGGCGGGCTCTCGCCGAAGCTTGGCACGTCGGGCACCGTCTGCGGCTCATCCTTGAGCGCGGTCAGGCGGGGCGGTCCCAGCGCGCCTGGGGGCGGCGGTGGAGGGAAGGGCACAGGCTCGGCGGCGAAGGCGACCGTCGCAGCACCCCCTGAACCCCCGGTGCCGCCCGCGTAGCTGCTCAGGTTCGCGTAGACGGGCGCCTCGGGCGTGGCTGCTGCCGGGGCCAGTTCGCCAGGAGGCGCGGCGCCCGCAGCCGTGCTCGAGGGTCCCCCCGCGGCCGCGGCAGCAGAAGCCGCGCCCGTGCCCAGCTGGTTCTGCTTGTGCAAGTCCTCCAGGGCCTTGACGAAGCCCTCGGCAAACTCCTGCTCCTCGCTGGCCGCCACCTTGGGGTAGAGGAACTGAGTGCTCGTCGGCGTGGTGGTGACCAGCCCGTTGGACTGGATGATTAGGCGCTCGAGCTCGGGCGAGGCGAGCTTGAGCAGCCCCAGGTCGGGCGAGGCGAGCAGGCCGTCGGGGGGCGCCGTGCCTGGGGCGCCGTCGGTGCGCAGGGGGGCCGGGGGCGGCGCGGCCGCGGGCTTGAGCGCCGCGGCCACCTGCTCGCTCAGGCTCAGCGTCAGCGCGTCTTTCTTCATCATGCTGCCAGTCGCCGCCGTCGGGGGCGCCCCGGGGAACAGGCGACCCGGGGACGCGAAGCTACCACCGCCGCCACTGCTACTGACGCCGCCGCCCAGGCCGCTCAGCGCCTCATCGCCGTAGAAGGGTGTTTCCATCCTCCGCCTCCCCCGCCGCGCCGGCCCGGGGAGGGGAGGGGGGAGTGGCCGCGGCCGCCCGGGGGGCCTGCGC